CTGCCGGCGAGGCCCCAGACCATCCAGCTGACGCCGTGCTTGACGGTGTACTCCCGCAGGCACGTCTGCAGGGTGTCGGTCCGGAGGGTGTCGTCTTGGCCGTTGCCGAACTCGGACAGGATGACGGGCGTCAGCCGGCTCGCCCGGGGACAGTCGCCGCCAGTGGTGGCGTTGCCGCAGGCGGCAGGCTTGTCGATTCCAAGCGCGTTGAAGCCGTTGCGGTAGAGGCCGGCCTCGATGACCGGGCAGGTGCCTGTGTCCTGGTCCTCGCTCATCTTGTAAAGGTGCAACTCGAACACGAGCTTTTCGGACCAGGCGTGGGCGTCGACGTCGAAGACTCGGGGCTCGCGGCGCGCGGCGTCGCGTATGGCGGTGCACTTGTAGCACGGAGCCGTCAGGTAGTTCGCGCCCGAAGTTAGCGCCGAGAGGTCCTGGCCGTACTGCATCCCGCCCCAGAGGATGAGCACGTCCGGGTTGGCGGCGTGGATGGCGTCGGCGCCGGCCGAGAAGTTGCCGACCAGCGTCTCCCAGTTGTAGTACAGGTCCGTCACGTTCCACGACTCGCGCACCTCGTTGCGCAGCGACAGCGAGACGATGTTGGGGTGGGCGCGGGCCCAGCCGGCGACGTGCGCGAGGCCGCGGCGCCAGCGCGCGGCGTCGAAGTGCACATCACCGAACCAAGCGTTGCCGTCCGTGTGCGAGCAGCACCACGAGGCCTTGCTGACATGGACGTCGGGCGAGATGAAGATGCCGCGCTCGAGGGCGGCGGTGGCGATGTCGGACCAGATCTCGAAGCGCGTCGTCTCGCGCGTCCAGGACGGGTTGTTGCGGATGATGTCGTTGGTGACCCTGGTGCCGTTGACGAAGCCGAGGGCCGTGATCATGGCCACCTCGAGGGGCACGTCCTCGCCTTCGCGGTCGTATATCTGGTCGACCATCTCTATGGCGTAACCCCTAGGGGGGAGATGCGTGTCAGCGTGTCGTCCTGGTGGCCGGTTGGGCTTCGTCAGGAGGATTCGAGACTCACATGCGGATATAGTTGAAGCCGACGCTCTCGACGTCGTCGAGGATCTGGTCGACCGAGGCCCATTCCAGACCCTCGGGGACCATGGTCTCGCCTGGGGTTCAGATCAGCAACAGCTCCAAGGTCTGGCATAGGGCCGGAACGCAGACGTACCGCTCATGGGCCAGTTGACGCCGGCCCATGTCACAACCTCGCCGCGGCTGTTGACGATGTCACGCCCGCGGGTGCGAAAGGGGCCGTACGGCCACGCGCTGCCAGTCTGGTTGCCCTCCTGTCTCGAGACAGCTTTGTGGGAGGTGTACCGAGGCATCCCGGGAGTCTTCATGTACTGGGCGCATGTCGACGACACCAGCGCCGAGATGGCGATTGCGAGGCCCTTCATCTTGGAAACAAGCTCACGTCAAGGTCCCACGTGGTGTAGGAAGCTGCGGTGAAACGACAAAAAGTTGGTCTCGAAGCCCTAGAGAAGCAAAACGGCCAGGAGCGACCAGGAAACCGTCCTCTTCTTAAAACTTAAAGAAGACGTGACATCAAGGTGCTGCATTCTAGGGGCGCAGCGATCCACTAGGCAATTGGCATCGCCATTCGGCTCCGCACCCCCCGCACCGTTGGTTTCCTCGCTGTAGTTCTAATGAGCATCGTCATTCGGACCCCATTTCCCCAGCGGTGGCCTAGTGTTGGTGCGATAGCTGCAGGCGGTGACCTTTCTACCGAAGCTATCCCAACCGAGGGAGGCTTGGGCCCGGCGCCAAGGACCCTAACCCCCAGGTTCCCGATGACGGCATTGGACCGCTTGAACGAGTGGAGAGAAGCTCGAGTCTGTGGCTTGCTTTACCCCGCATTCGATGATGGAGATGGTGGAGAATGGAGAAGGGATTCTGGGGGTTGGGGAAAGTAAACGGCGGTCAGCGGACTAGGTAGTCCGCGTGGTTACGGTCTTCCGGAGCGGGGGAGGTTACATGCGGGTCTCCTCGGGGCCGGCCCGGATTCGTGGGCGACCCGCCGAGTCTAGTTGAGAAGTTTACCCCGAACTCCCGTACCACTTCGGATGAAAGGACCGGAAACCCCGGGAGTTTCGTCAGCCAAGGCCTGTTCTTTTGCTTTCCGCGAGTCAAGCGATGGTAGTGTGCGGACTGGCCCTCGCTTCAGCGACATACGGCAGCTTCTCAATCATGTGACGGGGGGCCCTGTTTGGGCTGGGCTCCGACACGCTGCGCTAAATCATAGTGAGATCCAAGTTTAAGCATAACTGACTAGGCTTGGTGCTGCATACAACCAGTCCCAGGGGGTTCGCCTTGCGTCCTGAACCTTGAATGGCCCCGAATCACAACCTACTGAACTTTTGTACAGCTGTAGACTTTCGCCGCGGACCGCGGAAGCGGCCAGGTAAGGTCCGAATGTTCTCAATCGTGTGATAGTTGAAGCAGACGCCACGGCCAAACACCGGTGAGGAGCGGGTTCACTCTCTCGCGCAAGATTAGGTTGCGAGATCTTTTATGCAGCAAAGTAGCCGAAGCCGGGCAGGCGAGTGAAGTGCCGTTGTGCTTCCGGAGACGGCGTTGCGAAGTACGCGGAAGAGCCGACATGTGGGCAGACAAAATCAAGAGAGGGGTAAGATATTTAAGCATGAAGATGGGACTGGGGTAATGACGGTATGAAAACAGACGAACAAAAAAAAAATCGGCCAAGGGGAACACAGTGCACCGAAAGAAGAGGGGTTGGGCAAAGCTCCAAGGGACGGAGAGTTCCCCCCCAATCCATGACTGAAACGGAAAAGAGTTTTGGTCAACACAGAATGCTGGGATGGGTGGTGAAGAAATAAACTGAAAATTATGAAGAAACAATCAAAGACATTTGAAAAACAAAAAAGAGTGTGTGATCAAGTGACATGATCCGAACATGCCGACCTCGCGGAAGCGAGCGAACTGCAATCTTAAGCAAGTGGGGAGATAGGAAACTCAGTTGAAGGTTGGCGAGCGGTCCTCTGACCACCGGGATGCACCTGGCTATGAGAAAGGTTACGACAGCCTCTCTCTCTCTCTCTATCTGTGTGTGTGTGTGTGTGTGTGTGTGTGTGTGCGCGTTTTCCTCAGTCTACTTCATTTCCACTGATCAAGGTAGCTTTTCAACTTCGCGTGAGCTTCGCATCGACGGAGTCACGAGAGCTGAGGTATGTAAACTTCGTATGACTTTTAAGGATAGACTACATACAGGTTTCATAGCTTCGGGTGGATTTGCTCAACCCTAAATGCTGCAGAATGTTTCGACATGAAGGCCCCCTCCCCCCCCCCCCAACCAAAACGTTGCCGGTCATCACTTGCTCAGGCTCTTTTCCGGGTTCTTTTCGAACCGGCCGCACCACTTGCGCCACTCCTTGGCCGCCTTGTGCATTACCACTCGCAGGTCTTCCTTGACGTCGTTGACCTCCCACGCCTCGTCCTCCCAGTTCTTCTGCCCGCGTGTCAGGGCGGGGGACCAGCCGATGGCCTCTAGGCACTCGCTATGTCGCGCGGCCGTCAGCACGTCGAACACACCTGAAAAGTGGTTTGGATCGGGGAGGAGGAGGGAGGGAGGGAGGGAGGGGCAAGACTTACACTTCCGTAGGTGACGACGTGTATCTGGGAAACATTCTCGAGTCGACGCGGTGGCACTCGGCCTCGAGGTACCGTGCGAGGACGTCGAGGCGGTTCGCCGGCTTGAAGCTGAGCTTCAGCTTGTCCTCCTCGGCCATCTCGGCCTCGGACTTCTCCGGGTCGATGGACTCGGGCTTCTTGGAGGAGGATGTGAGGCGTTTTGTAACGGAACGCGCCGTCTTGGAGCCCTTGATGGTGAAGTACGCCCACACAGCTGTGTACAGTTAGCAACATGCCCGAAGCAAGATGAGGGTTGTGTATGTGTGAAGTACTAACCGTTAACCTCAAAGAGTCCAGAGACGGCGATCATGAGGGTGTCGATCGCCAGCGATATGGGCAGCAGCCCCGTCGCGATGATGGCGTCCCGTTGCGCCTTGGACTTTGTGCGCAAGATCGAGTTGATGAACTCCTCCCGCATGGCCTCGGGCGTCATGTTCATCGACGGCGAGTACACGAAGACAATCTCCTCGACCCCGACCGTCTTCTTCGTCTCGTGCGATGCGTGGGCCGGATCGTCTTCCATCAAGTCACCTTGCTCACCCTTCTCCTCGTCCCCGTAGCCCTGCTCCTCGGCGAGCTTCTCCTGCCGCGCCTGCTCGTCGACGTCTTTCCCTTCTTGACACCTGTTCGGGTCGTTGAGGAGCGTCTCCGTGTCGTCCCTCTTCTCGGAAGTCTCGCCCTTCTCCTTCCCGTCCTTCTCACCGCCCTCGGCGGCCTTGTCCTTCTTATCCTTCTTCCCCTTACCCTTGATCGACAGCTTGCGGGAGATGGACGACGGGGGCTTTGGCGAAGGCGTGACCCTCGCGAGATAATCCAGGTTGCTCGTGGTGGTGTACTGCATGGCCTTGTCCACACCGCGGGTGCACTTGGCTTTGAACCCCGCCCAGCTCGTCGTTTTTGCGTCGCTCGTCTTGGCCTGCCGGACCTCATTCTGCCACTTGCGCTGCACTTTGTGCGCGACACTCTCCTTGACGCCCTCGGGCGGCGCCTGGAGCGGTGGAGGCGGAGGCGTGTAGATCAGGAAGCGCGTGGGGATGGCGTCAGAGGGCGCCTTGGCCTTCAGCCAGGGCTTGGGGAAGGGCACCAGGTATGTGATGAGCTTGTGGGGGTCCCGGGAGTAGTGGATGGGATTGGAGGGGTCGTCGTTGCCAAAGTCCGAACCCTGACGCTTGGGGGGAGGCGCGATGCCCTCTACCGAGGGCGTTTTGGAGAACGGGGGTGACATTGGGCTCTGGGCGAGCAGCTCCTCGACGGCTTTGGGGTGAGGGCGGGCTGGCAGAGGTGGTGCCTGTTGAGACTCTTCTGCCTGTCCAGCCTCTTCTGCCTGAAGACGTTGCGCGAAGGCAAAGTCCTCGTCTTCGGGAGATGAAAAGGGGTTAGATGACAGAGGCCCGTTGCTGCTCCACGCGGGCTGGCTAGACCGGTGCGGAAGAGGAGGCGCCTGGTTCTCCTCTTCTTGGAGAGCGACCGCCATGGCATAGTCGCGGTCCTCCTGCTCTTGAACTGCGGGATTCACACCATAGCCACCGCGTTCTTGGGCATAATAGTCGGGGACCTCCGTAGACACGGGTCTTGGGCCGGGTAGGGGCGGCCGGTCTTGGTTGTTATCATAAGCCTCGGCGGCTTTACCCTTATTGGGTACCGCGGGGCCATCAGTATAGCCCGGGTGCTCTGTGTTTTGATGCTGCACGACGGGCTGCGGATGGTGTTCGGCCGCCCTGACATGATTGAAGGAAGCCGGACGGTCGTACTCAGGCGAGCCCGGTGCATCGTAGTATTCAGGCGAGTACGGCGCATCGTTGTATCCCTCTGAACGTGTCTCGGTGGCTTTCCCTTTATCGAGCGACGAAGGCGGCCCATTTGGTAGGTCATAGCCAGTGCCGTTATAAGCAGACGAGGTGCCATGGGCTGGGACCCTGGACTCGCCGTGTGGCGGCGAGGTGTTCCCGATGCCTGGCGGGTCGTAGATATTGTCCTCCTCCGTCACCTCGGGCAGAGGGTCAGGCATCTGCTGCCTCTGCTCGACATACTCGGGATAAGAAGCATTTGAGCGCACGCTGTTGGAGCGAATGGTAGTGGGCGTAGCCGGGATGATGTTGACGGCAGGGACCCCGCTTCTTGGTTCCACAGGCGAGCCGTTATTAATGTCATCATACCACCGAGGCTGCGACTGCTGGCCAGTCTGAGGCTGGCCATGGCTGTGGGACCCCGACGACTGGGTGAAGAACAGCTCCTGCTCTGCAATGGAGCTTGTGGTATGGTGTTGCCGCTCCTGCGTGGTGTCCATGTTGGAGGCTCCTGGCGATGCAAATGGCGAGGTGAACAGAGTTGTCAAGAGATCCGCGACGTCTTCCCAGGAGAGGAAGAGGGGTTTACAGCATGGAGGGGGAAGGAAAAGAGAGTTCGGATCAACGAGTGCGCATCACGATGGTCTATGAAAGCTTAATATTGCCCCAAAAGGCGGCAGACAACTCGACTCTGGAAACGCGTAACACAACGACTGCGGCGTGGGCGAGCAAGGATGGGCGGCGAGATGGATGACGTGTTTCGAGATACTCATGGTGTGGCGCAGTCCGACGGATTGTGGCAATGGCCGCCGGCGATTGATGGCAATGGCCATGTCGTTCAGACCGTCTGCTAATGGGGTTCACAAGTTCACGCGAGTCGGCAAGGGTTTGAGAAGCGAGGATTGTGGCTAGAGAGCGTTTCATAGCGATGAGGGGGCGAGGCGTCGGTGGTTGTTTGTTGG